AGTGATGGGCCCTGCACTCATGAGGGTTTCCTCTGTGCTGCTCCTTCTTAATACTCACCAATAAATTCTACTTCCTGTCCACCAAAAACAAAGAGAAAGAAAGAAGGAGAGAGAAGGAAGGAAGGAAGAAGCAGAGAAGGAAGGAAGGAAGAAAGGAAGAGAGGGAGGGAGGGAGGGAGGGAAAGAAAAACGGTGTTGGAAAAGATAACTTAAAAGAATCCAGACAAGCAGGTGGCTTTTAGCCAAGAGTCCCTTCGAAAGCTGAGAACCTGGAAATTGATTCCTTTAATGTTATCTGTGCCCCTGCACCCCCAGTTCCATGACCACTGGCCAGTTTGACACACCCTCCCTGGGCACATTCAGAGTTAGGTATAATTCCTGGAAATCCTTCTCTAACTCCATCTTTATCTCTCTGGCATAATAAAGCACAAGGTATTGTTAAGTAATATCCTTGAACTTATTCTAAATTATACAAAAGTAAAGTATTCATAAATTCAAAACTTTTAAAGGAGGAACAGATTCGCTGTGACCCAGTATACAGCTCAGGGCAATGTACCAGTCCTCAGGAACAGGCCAACTCAAGAGACCCTTCATCAACAAACCATGATGAAATCCTAAAAAGAAGACTAATTTCCGTAGATAGGTGGGGATCCATCAGGCCTGAATACCTTGGCGTCATCATCTCCTGGGCCCCCACACATCAGCATTACTTCTGAAAGGCAAATCAGGAGGTGTCACTCCCATTGCTAAATCCTTTCAGTGGGTACCAGTGTCCTTGGTTTAAAGCCTAGATTCCTTAACAAGGCACAGAAAGGCCTCATGACCTGAATCCTGCCTATTTATTCACACTTATTTCTTTCCATTTCCCCAAATACACCCTACGCCCCAGCCACACTGAGCCCCTAGCAGTTCCAGCTCCCACTCTCTACGACGTCTTTTCATGAGCTCCTCCCTCTGCTAGAACACCTTCCCCTCACCCCAGTGGGTGATCATGTGATACTCTATCCCTTACTATCACATTTGGGAATCAGTTAAAGAAAAGAAAAAAAAAAAGGCTGGGCATAGTGGCTCATGCCTGTAATCCCAAAAATTTGGGAGGCTGAGGTGGGTGGATCATGAGGTCAAGAGATGGAGACCACCCTGGCCAACATGGTGAAACCCTGTCTCTACTAAAAAATGCAAAAATTAGCTGGGTGTGGCGGCACATACCTGTAGTCCCAGCTACTGGGGAGGCTGAGGCAGGAGAATCGCTTGAACCCAGGAGGCGGAGGTTGCCGAGATTGCGCCACTGCACTCCAGCCTGGCAACAGAGTGAGACTCCATCTCAAAAAAAGAAAAAGAAAAAGAGAAAAACATTTTAATTAAAAAAAACAAAAAGACTCTGTCCTTTCCAACTCCTCTGCAAAGCCTTATTGAGTGTCTACCACGTGCGTAGCATTGTGTTAGGCACTGAGGATGCAAAGGAGAGCACAGCGGACAGGGGAAAATTAAATGCCCTTCCTAGTTCCGTCAGCAACCTCTGCTGTGTCTAGCATATCATTGTCTTCTTTGCATTATAAGTACCTCTTCTACAAGGCTGTGAGCATTCTGAGGATAGGGCTTCTGTGTTATTCATCTTTGAAGCCCTACTACCTAGTCTATGGAATGCATCAGTAGATACTTGTCAAATTCATTGACTCACAAAGGATTCATTGAAAATTTTTCTATCAGGGAGGAATGAGGTGCTGGTTACAAAACTGAACCAATAGGATCATGGCTATGATCCCTGCCCTCTTGAAACCTTGTAGTCTAGGGATAAACAGAGTACTTGATTTGATGAATGATGTAGGAATCAGTGAATGGGTTAACGAATCAGGGAAGGAGTCTGGATGCAGCAGCCCAGAGCAGGAGATCTACAGGAAGTGAAAGGTCAGTGTCTAGGGAGGTAGTTGGGGAATTCTGATGCCCTTTGGTCTTTCTTTTTTCTTTTCCTTGAGAGAGGGTCTTGGTCTGTCACCCAGGCTAGAGTGCAGTGACCTGATCTCAGCTCACTGCAGTCTTGACGTCTCAGCCTCAAGTGATCCTCCCATCTCAGCCTCCAAAGTAGTTGAGACAGACCGGGCTTGGTGGCTCATGCCTGTAATCCCTGCACTTTGGGAGGCCAAGGCAGGTGGATAACTTGAGTCCAGGAGTTTGAGACCATCCTGGGCAACATGATGAAACCTTGTCTCTGCCAAAAATATAACAACGACAACAACAAAAGTTAGCTGGGCATGACAGTATGTGCCTATAGTCCCAGCCACTCAGGAGGCTGAGGTGGGAGAATCACCTGAGTTGGGGAGGGTGCCACTGCACTCCAGCCTGGGCCACAAAGTGAGACTCTGTCTCAAAAAAACAAAGTAGGCACACACCAACATGCCAGGCTAATTTTGTTTATTTTTTTAGAGAAGAGGTCTCACTATGTTGCCCAGACCAGTCTCAAACTCCTGGACTCAAGCAATTCTCCTGCCTAGGCCATCCTGAAGTGCTGGGATTACAGGCGTGAGCCACATGCCCGGCCTTCTTTTTTTGAGACAGGGTCTCGCTTGTTGCCCAGGCTGGTTTTGAACTCCTGGCTTCAAGGAATCCTCCTACTTCAGCCTCCCAAAATGTTGGGACTATAGGCACGAGCCACCGCCCCAGCCTGGTCTTCTAATACAGAGAAACTTGAAAGACAGCAAGTAGCAGAGCAGAAGCATGGAGTTTAGAGTCTGACCTAGGCTTGAATTCTGGATCCATCACTTATCAGCTATGTGACCTTAGGCAAATCCCTTAACATGTTAGTATCATCATTTCCCCATCTATAAAATGGGGTTGATAATAATGTCATAAGAGGATTATGATTAAATGAGAGAATGCATTTAAAAGCCCTTACCGCCGGGCGCGGTGGCTCAAGCCTGTAATCCCAGCACTTTGGGAGGCCGAGGCGGGTGGATCACAAGGTCAAGAGTTCGAGACCATCCTGGTCAACATGGTGAAACCCCGTCTCTACTAAAAATACAAAAAATTAGCTGGGCATGATGGTGCGTGCCTGTAATCCCAGCTACTCAGGAGGCTGAGGCAGAAGAATTGCCTGAACCCAGGAGGCGGAGGTTGCGGTGAGCCGAGATCGCGCCATTGCACTCCAGCCTGGGCAACAAGAGCGAAACTCCGTCTCAAAAAAAAAAAAAAAAAAAAAAAAAAGCCCTTACCCTGTGCCCATAGTTTAGGAATTGGTGGTTCCCATCACTTGCTCAGTGTTGGACACGCAAATTCAGAAACACAGAATGTCTGGACTCAGCCCTGGCCTGGTGTTTTTCCCACAAACCAGAAGCTGACACCTTCCCTACTCCCATGACTGTGTGGCTCTCCCTTCTTTATTTTTTATTTTATTTTATTTTTTAAACAAGGCCTCACTTTGTTGCCCAGGCTGGTCTTGAACTCCTGGACTCAAGCAATCCTCCTATCTTGGCCTCCCAAAGTGCTGGGATTACAGGCATGAGCCATGGAGCCCAGCCTTCTCTTCCTTCACCACTCCCCCATCACTGGCCAGTTCTGTTTACACACTGCCTAAGTGTTTTCAAGGCCAGGGGTTGTCTAGCATATCCTTACAAGTCTAAGGTGAGGGAGGTGCTGGTTAGGGAGAGGCATGGCAAGAAGGCAGTCAAAGAGGAAGGGCAAAGCACAGGTGTTTAAGAAGGCCCCACAATCAGCCTGGCACCCAGCTTGGTGCTCAACATGCATTGTCTCCTGTCATCTTGATAAAAATCTCATTTTAAGCTGGCCCCCAAGCCTCATGCCTATAGTCTCCCAGTTAATGGGAAGCTGAAGCAAGAGGATTGCTTGAGCACAGTAATTGGAAGTTGTAGTAAGCTATGATCAGGCACTGGACTCCAGCCTGTCTCTTTAAAAAAAAAAATTGAGGCCGGTCGCGGTGGCTCACACCTATAATCCCAGCACTTTGGGAGGCCGAGGTAGGTAGATCACGAGGTCAGGAGTTCAAGACCAGCCTGGCCAAGATGGTGAAACCCTGTCTCTACTAAAACCACTAAAACTACAAAAATTAGCCAGGCTTAGTGACAAGTGCCTGTAATCCCAGCTTAGGAGGCTGAGGCAGGAGAACCGCTTGAACCCCCAGGAGGGGGCGGGGAGGAAGTTGCAGTGAGCCGAGATCCCACCACTACCCTCCAGCCTGAGCAACAGAGTTAAGAGTCTGTCTCAAAAGAAAAAAAAATTATAGCTGAGGAAAGTGAGGCTCAGGAGGTAAACAGGAGATATGGGATATAAAGCCAAGTCTCTCTGTGACTCTGAAATAGTTTTCTCCTCTGCCATGCTGCTCACTAGCTTGTAGATGATCGTCAAATGTTTGAGAAATAAATTTTTCTCATTCCCAAGAAGAACAGAAATTGTACAGCCCTCTTTCCAGAGAATCCAGGTACATGCTCAAACGGTGATAAATAAACAAATGAACACTAATGAATAAATGAAAGATTGAGTGAAATCCCTCTGATACCCGCACCAGGAAGAAGGAAACAAATAACGCTAGAGGAGCCGCCTTGCAGGAAGAAGTGGAGACTGTCTCCCAGGCCATGATCTCCAGTGTCCAGGTCAGCCAAGGGCAAGGAACTGACTTGGTTGGAGTTAGAAAAACTTAGGAGGGTCAGGGGTGCTGGGGAGAACGTGATGACTGGAGAGAAAGCCAGTGACTGAAGGGCAGGAAGGGGAATGAAATTACCCCATGCCCACGTTCAGCCCTTCCCTGCCATTTCACTTGAGGAGATAGACCCTGACGCCTGGCCTGACATGCTACTAACTTTTAAAATGAAAGTTGCACGATCCAAAGCGGCCACACCAGGAGGTCACTGCAGAAGGGGGGTTACGAAGGGAGCACCCCACACCTCCCCCCTCCTTCCTGCACCAGCCCCCCATGCCCCCACCCTGCACTTCCTGCCACCGCCCCCTCGTCCTGACATGGGAACTCCCTCCCAGCTCCCACATCTTACCCTGAGAGACAAGGTAGGGGTGTCCCAGGCCGCACCGCCAGCTGGTCCTCGAGTTCCAGGCTTTTTGGGCCAGGGGGTTGCCTGCTGCCCTGAAGCTCCCGCTCTACCAGGCGCTCCTCAGTCCCTCCCCAAACGAAAAACCTCCAGACAGGTTCCAAAGCCGCCCAGCCCAGGAGGAGGGAGCCTGGGGAAATCCCCTCCCAGCCGGGCTGGGCTGGCCTGCTTGGCAGTCTTGCTCCTGGGCTGGCCCTGGATGAATGAGTCCTCCCCCTCGCCTGCTTGGGTCTGAGCCAGGGAGCCAGTGGCAGCCTCTGCTCTTTCTCCAGGGCACTGGGCTCCATTCCACCTCCAAGTCCTGCCCTCCTGCTTCATGCCTGGGTCCCCTGCCCTTCCCTCTCAGCTCTCTGACACCTCGACAGGATGGTCTCTATCAACCGAGTAGTCCCTATTGCTCTGCATTTTGTTGTTCTCCAGTGGGAAGCCAGGCCGGGTACTGAGCACCAAGGCGGGTGACTTGATGACCCTCAGCAGAGGTTTAGTCCATGGAAGGACTGGTGACACCATGGCTCCTGGTGAAATAGCTTTGTCGGCTCTGATTATTCATTCAAAGCGTTTTGAGAATAACTGGCCTCGTGCGAGGCCCTGAGGATGAAGAGGTAGATGAACGCACTCCCTGTCCTCCTACTCCACTAGGAAGACAAAGAATGAAGCTCTAAGTAGATGCTGCTCAAGATTCAGCCAGAAGGGGGCTGGGCACAGTGGCTCACACCTTTAATCTCAGCACTCGGGGAGGCCAAGGCGGCGGATGACCTGAGGTTGGGAGTTCAAGACCAGCCTGACCAACATGAAGAAACCCCGTCTCTACTAAAAATACAATATTAGCTGGGCGTGGCGGCGCGTGCCTGTAATCCCAGCTACTCAGAAGGCTGAGGCAGGAGAATTGCTTGAACCCAGGAGGCGGAGGTTGCAGTGAGCCGAGATCGCGCCATTGCACTCCAGCCTGGGCAACAAGAGTGAAACTCCGTCTCAAAAAAAAAAAAAAAAGAAAAATTCAGGCAGAAGGGACCAGGGAGGACTCCCGTGTGTGGAAGTGTTCTGGAAAAACCCTTAGACAACAGGACATACAAGATGGGTTTTGAAGGATGAGCAGGGGTTTTCCAGAATTGTGAGGAGGGAGAGGGAGCACAGGCTGACAGAAGAGGCCATGAGAAGGGACGAATTCAGCAGGAACCACTTGAAGTTTTGAGCAGGTCGTGTCAGATCAGAAAGGGCCTTGTGTGCCTTGATAAACGGCTTGGACTGTGTTCTGTAGGTTCTGGGGCGTCAGAAAAAGGTGTATGCGTGTTTGTTTGTTTGTTTGTTTGTTTGAATACAGGGTGTCTCTGGGAGGCAGAGGTTATAGTGAGCTGAGATTGGGCCACTGCACTCCAGCCTAGGTGACAGAACGAGACTCTGTCAGTCTGTCTCAAAAAAATATGGGGTTTCTCTCAGTTACCCAGGCTAGAATGCAGTGGTGCAGTCATGGCTTGAAGCAGCCTTGAACTCCTGGGCTCAAGTCTCACGTGATCCTCCCACCTTAGCTTCCCGTGTAGCTGGGACTACGGGCACGCACCACCGTGGCCAACCGGTTTTTCAATTTTTTTTTTTTTTTTTTTTTTTTTTTTTTTTTGAGATGGAGTCTCACTCTGTCGCCAGGCTGGAGTGCAGTATCCCCATCTCGGCTCACTGCAACCTCTGCCTCCTGGGTTCAAGCAATTGTCGTGCCTCAGCCTACTGAGTAGCTGGGATTACAGGCACACACCACCATGCCTGGCTAATTTTTGTATTTTTAGTAGAGAGAGGGTTTCACCATATTGGTCAGGCCGGTCTCAAATTCCTGACTTCATGATCCACCCACCTCGGCCTTGCAAAGTGTTGGGATTTCAGACATGGGCTACCGCACCTGGCCCAGTTTTTAAATTTTTTGTAGAGATGGGATTTCACTATGTTGCCCAGGGTAATCAGGAACTGCTAACCTCAAGAGATCCTCCTGCCCCGGCCTCCCAAAGTGCTGGGGTTACAGGCGCCACGCCACACCTTGCTAGCTCACAGATAGGCTTTAAACCAGGGACACAAACTATCAGATTGCATTCAAAATAGATCACTGGGGCCAGGTGTGGTGGCTCACACCTGTAATCCCAGCACTTTGGGAGGTCAAGGCTGGAGGATGGCTTTAAGCCCTAGAGTTCAAGACCAGCCTGAGCAACATCGTGACACCTGTCTCTACAAAAAAAAAAAAAAAATTTTCATTATCTGGACATGATGGTGTGCACATGTAATCCCAGCTACTCCAGAGGCTGAGGTGAGAGGATAGCTGGAGCTCAAGAGGTTGAGGCTGCTATAATCGCACAACAGCACTCTAGCCTGGGTGACAGAGTGAGACACTATCTCAAAAAAAAAAAAAAAAAAAAAAAAAAGACAGCCATTGCAGTACATTGAGCTCCATAGAGATATTGCCAGGGCAAGTGAGAGCCAGACCGGGCACGGGGTGACTCTGTGCCTCGCTGAGGAAAAACAACTAAACATGGGCAAAGCAGATCCTAAGAATTCGAAAGACAAAATGTCATCATATGCGTTTTTCATGCAAACTTGTCGGGAGGACCATAAGAAGGACCCAGATGCTTCAGTCAGCTTCTTAGCGTTTTCTAGGAGGTGCTCAGAGAGGTGAAAGACCGTGTCGGCTGAAGAGAAAGGACAATTTGAAGATGTGGCAAAGGCGGACAAGGCCCGTTATGAGAGAGAAACGAAAACCCATACTCCTCCTCAAGGGGAGACAGAAAAGAAGTTCAAGGATCCCAATGCACCCAAGAGGCCTCCTTCAGCCTTTTACCTGTTCCGCTCTGAGTATCGCCCAAAAGTCAAAGGAGAACATCCTGGCCTGTCCATGGGTGATGTCGCGAAGAAACTGGGAGAGACGTGGAGTGACACTGCTGCAGGTGACAAGCAGCCTTATGAAAAGAAGGCTGTGAAGCTGAAGGAAACATACAAAAAGGATATTACGGCATATCGAGCTAAAGGAAAGCCTGATGCAGCAAAAAAAAAAAAAGGGAGTCATCAAGGCTGAAAAAGCAAGAAAAAGAAGAGGAGGAAGGTGAGGAAGATGAAGAGAATGAGGAGGAAAAGGAATATGAAGAAGATGAAGACAATGATGAGTAAGTTGGTTCTAGTGCAGTTTTGTTTTTTTTTTTTTGAGACGGAGTTTCGCTCTTGTTACCCAGGCTGGAGTGCAATGGCGCTATCTCGGCTCACCGCAACCTCCACCTCCTGGGTTCAGGCGATTCTCCTGCCTCAGCCTCCTGAGTAGCTGAGACTACAGGCACGCGCCACCATGCCCAGCTAATTTTTTGTATTTTTAGTAGAGACGGGGGTTTCACCATGTTGACCAGGATGGTCTCGATCTCTTGACCTCGTGATCCACCAGCCTCGGCCTCCCAAAGTGCTGGGATTACAGGCTTGAGCCACCGCGCCCGGCCCAGTTTTTTTTTTTTTTTTTTTCTTGTCTATAAAGCATTTAACCCCTCTGTATACAACACACTCCTTTTAAAGAAAAAAATCGAAATGAAAACAAAATAAAAGGAAAAGATCACTGGGACCGGCAATGTAAAGAAGGGTTTGAAGCAGGCAAGACTGGAGGCAAGAAGACCAGCCAGGCTTGCGTGAGTCAAAGCAAGTGGTAAGTAGGCCTGAGCAAGGCACTGGCTAGGCAGTGAGGGTGGGAGTAAGAGAAAGGAACAGATTCAAGAGATGCTCAGGGAGTAGCATTGATGGGACTTAACAACGAGTAAGGGAGGAGCCTAGGATGAAGCTAAGATTTCCAAATGGAATAACTACTGAGGTTGATAGTGGTGCCCACAAATAAGATGGAGAAATCTGGAAGAATGGCCAGGCACAGTGGCTCAAGCTTGTAATCTCAATGCTTTGGGAAGCTGAGGTGGGTGGATCACCTGAGGTCAGGAGTTCAAGACCAGCCTGGCCAACATGGTGAAACCCTGTCTCTACTAAAAATACAAAAATTAGCTGGGCACGTTGGTGCAAGCCTATAATCCAGCTACTTGGGAGGCTGAGGCAGGAGAATCACTTGAACCCAGGAGGTAGAGGTTGCAATGATGCGAGATCACGCCACTGCACTCCAATGTGGGCTATAGAGCGAGACTATGTTTCAGAAAAAAAAGACAAAAAGTTGGGCGCAGTGGCTTATGCCTGTAATCCCAGCACTTTGGAAGGCCGCGGTGGGCAGATCACGAGGTCAGGAGTTCAAGACCAGCCTGGCCAATGTGGTGAAACCCCATCTCTACTAAAACTACAAAAATTAGCTGAGTGTGGTGGCGCATGTCTGTAGTCCCAGCTACTCGGGAGGCTGAGGCAGGAGAATCGATTGAACCCTGGAGGCGGAGGTTGCAGTGAGCTGAGATCTCACCACTGCACTCCAGCCTGGGCAACAAAATGAGACTCTGTCTCAAAAAAAAAAAAAAAAAAAAAAAAAATCAGGATCAGGAACAAAAGCAATTTGGGGGGGAAATGAATTCTGTTCCGGACTTGTTGAGTCAGGGGCACCTACAGAGATGTTCAGGGAGCAGTTGCTCCAGGGATAAACAGGAGTTATGTATCAGTCAGGGCACCAGCAGGAAGGAGAAGGCATCTTCAGCTAGATTTGAAGGTCCGGGAAGGGTAAGGGAAGCCATTAAGAGATGTTGAATATCCAGGAATGAACAACAGTGGGAAGCCATGCAGTGTTCACTGAGTCCAGCGAGAGCTGGAGCCGTGGACCAGGGCCCCGGCAGAGTGCAGTTGCGCAGGAAGGCAGCCCCCACTGGAGCAGAATGGAAACAGAAGCCGGAATATGCCAATCACCTTAGGCTCTGCCTTCCTATTCCAGAGTCTTCTCATTAGCTAAACTCAACCAGAAGCCAGAGGGCAAGGTACCCCAAGGCACAGAACAAGGAAGAGAATGGATGGGGTTGGGAGGAATCAGCAAACAGCTGGAGAAAAAGAGATTTAGGAGTTACACAGAGATGGCCACTCAGGCCGTGGGAACCGGTGAGGTCACTCGGGGAGAGAAATTAGAGAGGAAGAAGAGGATCTAAGACAAGACTCAGGGAATGCTGTAGGGCC